AATCTGGAGTCTGGTATACCATTGGGATGTAGATAGGCTACCCTATGATTAAAGATGTGACTATACCTTGAAGCTATCCACAGTGAGGGATCAGTGCGTGTACAGTTCATGCACAGTCACTCCTGGTATCAGTAGATGACAAGTCTTTCAAGCAGCAGGAGGTTTCCTGTTTCTCTCATAGAGGCAAGATGTGGAAGAAAAGAAATCAAGAAAAGTGGCCATGAGCATGTTGATCCAGCTGCCATATTTCTAGGGATAATCTGAAGTTCTGGAAACTAGAGCTTAGGGAATAAATACCCTGAGTTCTACCCGTAGGCTGTAGAAGCCTAGAGTACCATGCTTACCTGTGGTTTCGGGAGCCAGGTGTATAAACCACAGATTTTGGTGCTAAGAGAGTATGAGACAGTCTTCAGAGCTCCAGCCAATCATTCCAAACATTCTGGAGCCAAAGTCCATAGGCAGACAAAAGCATCTTGGCTGAAAAAAAAGTGGTCCAGTTGATAGTTTGTTGAAATGATAAATTGGTTAAAACTAATATGATCTTCTCAATCACATGTAATTTAATTTTAATCACATATAATTATAATTTTTCCACATATAATTTAATTTTAGAACAGAGTTCTATATCTTTTTATGCATCTTCTTATCTATTTTCACAGTTTTCTGACTTGGACTTTTTTTTCTCTTTAGATTTTTTTATTTTTTAATTAATTCATGTTCAACCAATTAATTATTGCTGCTGTGCTATTTGTAGTAACAAGAAGTTACAACCTAAATGTGAATTCATTAAAAATTCTTTGGTCAGCTGAGCACAGTGGCTCACACCTATAATCTTAGCACCTGGGAGGCTAAGGCAGGAGGATCACTTGAGGTTGGACTTGGAGACCAGCCTGAGAAAAAATGAGACCCTGTCTCTGCAAAATATTAAAAAATTAGCTGGGCATGGTGGCACACACCCTGCTACTTGGGAGGCTGAGGCAGGAGGATCAGTTGAGCCCAGGAATTTGAGGTTGAGTGAGCTATGATGACACCACTACACTCTAGCTAGGGCAACAGAGCAAGACTGTGTAAAGAGACACTTTTGTACATCCATAAAATTGGATATTGTACAGTCCTGTAAAAAATATATGGAAATATATTTGTTACATGGAAATGTGTTCGTGATATTTTAATAATATAAAAAAGCAAAATGCAAAATAATATTATGATATAATTCCATTTTATTTTTTAAATCTGCATCCTAGCTAAGCATGTATTGCTCCAACAGTGCAGTATATTTAAGGTTGATGAATGATAAACCTTTATTTCCTTCACTTATTATATTCTTCCATCATCTCACAACCCAACTCAGGCCTTTCATGCTAGACACAGAAGTCTCACACATATGAACTAGAGATTGAAAACTCACTTTCTATCATGTTAAATTTTTTAAATTGTGAAAATATGCTAAATATTTAAATATTTTTAAGTAGAAAAGTTATATTTCCTTTCTTGTTTTTCTTTTTAAAATAACAATGTATGCTCATCATGGAAAAATCAAAACTATACCATCCATAATACTACTCTCCCAGAGACAACTAAATCCTCTTAGTAAATGTGGGTATACTTTTTTTTTTTAATGAGATCATTCTCTCTTTGAGTGAAATACTTGTCAGAGGTTAAAAAGAAAAAAAATAAAATAAAAATGAGATCATTCCATATACAAGATCTTAGGACCTACCTACCTACATAATTTTATGTATGAGTTTATTTATTTTGAATTTACTATATAAAACAGTAAGAACACCTTTTGGTCATACATAATCTGATTTTTATTAAGGATAGTTTTTTGTTTTTGTTTTTCTACTTTTTGAGACAGAGACACACTTTGTTGCTGGGGCTACAGTGCCATGGCGTCAGCCTAGCTCACAGCAACCTCAAACTCCTAGGCTCAGACAATCCTTCTGCCTCATCCTCCCAAGTAGCTGGGACTACAGGCATGCGCCACCATGCCCGGCTAATTTTTTCTATATATTTTTAGTTAGCCAATTAATTTCTTTCTATTTATAGTAGAGAGAGGGTCTTGCTCTTGTTCAGGCTGGTTTTGAACTCCTAACCTTGAGCAGTCCGCCCACCTTGGCCACCCAGAGTGCTAGGATTACAGGTGTGAGCCACCACGCCCAGCCAAGGATAGTTTTTAAAGGGTAAAACTATCAGATTTTTGTGTGAATGTGATGAAATCAGTGACTTAGGAAGAATAATTTAGTTTTAGTTTTATTATACTTAATAGTGAAGTGGGACTGTGGCATGAAGACTGATTAGAATATTCTTAAAACAGAGGCTTTAATCTTTTAAAATCTTGGACCCCTTTGAGAATTTAATGAAAGATACAGTTCTGACTTCAGAAAAATACATATATGTACTTGCCCATAAAACTTTGTGTTCAATTTCAGCATTTTCACAGATCCCTAGGACCCTAAAATATTCACAGAAGAAATAAAATAGCCCATAAACATATGGAAAGAAGCTAACGCTATCTTTTAATGAAATAAGTAAAAATTGAAATATTGATGAGGTACCATTTTTCACCCATCAAATTGGCAAAATCAAAATGTTATTACGTGTTGTATTGGGAATGGTGTGGGTGAAATGAGCCATATTTCATATTGTGAGTTTGGTAGAATCTTTTAAGAGAACAATTTGACAGAATCTATCAGAATGCTTAGTATGGAAACCCTGTGACCTGGCATCGCACATTCTCTGAAACACAAGCTTGAGTCTATAAGATGTTTGTATAAGGATATTCGTTCTACCATTGTATAAAATAGCAAAAAGAATTGGAAACCTAAAACTTAGCAGGACAATAGATTTTTTAAAATAGTATATATACCCTTTAAGAAGAATGAGGTAAATCTATATATACTCATTAAGAAAGAATATTGTTAAATGAAAAGGTTATACAGCCAATATGTACATTAGCCTGTTTTAGTTTAAAAATAAAACTATGTATGTATAAATACACATACTTACTCATATATGTGTGTGTGTTAGAAGGGACTCTTCCTCCTTTAGCATTGACAGAAAATACCTGCATACCAAAGTAGGTGTAGAAAACCTTACCCACACCTCCATTAGCATAAGACATAGCCTCATTCGTGACCTGAAGGCTTTTTTAAAAAAGAGAAAAGAAAAAAGGCCTCATGAGCCTATTTTCCTTAGCCAGTGAGATCAAGGATATAAAAGGAGATCTGAGAGAGACTTTTGTGATGAGATTGGTAAAGAAGAGAGAGAACTATGTTGTAAATTCCTAACTCTCTTTTGGGGCAGAGGTAGAAGGAAGCATAGTAAGGGTTAAGTCAAGGTAGAGTGGTCAGATGCCCCTCCATTTTCTCATACAGTTCCTGATGTAATTATAATGGTACCCTGTTACTATCAAGTATCCCAATTAGGACAATAATTGTATGGTTACCCAGCTTCAAGGGGACCACTCTGACACCTTTGATGTACATTCCCTATGGTTGGAAGATCAAGGAGAGTGCATGACTCACATCTGACAAAGCTAAAGCAGACTCTCATTCAGAAAGTCCAAGGCTCAAGACCAGCTGACTTAAATGGCTTTGGTGGATAAGCCAGCAAAAGCTGTTGCATTAGGATGAGTCTACACTAAGCAGGTTTGGGGGGCAAGATATCATGAGTGTTTCTCATGGATCAACCAGCATGGCCTGAGTTCTTGTCAAATAGGATTTATGCCCCAAACAGAGATGTGTCTATCTAGATCATGGAAATGACAGAAAAGGGTGGGGGGTCCAGCAAGAACCTCTCAGGAGTCATTAAAAGTTCCCAAAAGTGAGTCCATTTTAACCATCTGCCAAACTGAGAATGTGGAGCCACCCAGCCATACAAAAACTGGCCTATCTCATAATCTCTCCTGCCTCCACACAGCCCCTATGCACCAACTCTTGTTACACAGGAACTAAACAGTGAGTGAGTGAGGGTATAGGTGAGGAGGGAAGTAGTTAAGTGGGGAAAGAAATGAGAGAGTAGAGGCAAGGGAGAGAATAGAATGAGGGAAGGAGTCAACAGGAAAAGAGTAGAAGGCGAGAAAAGTAAGCAGGGAGAAAAAAGAGGGAACATGACCCTTTTTGTAACAGGTCCAGGGGAGGGGGAAGGAATTAATTTTACAGTTTCGACTGTTACATATGACTGAACATTTTAATTACTGAATAGTTACTGGGTGTGTGACATAATGTCTTAGTAGGAGTATCTGTTACCTAAGAATTAAGGAGAAAGCCATGGGCCCTGTTCAAATCTTCATCTAGGAGCAGAGGAAGAATACTTAAACACTGAATAAAGTTTATAGAAATTGTGGAAGACCAAAAGGATATTTTTTTAATCCGTAAATCATGCTTAGTTCAAAATATGGTTTACATATATATATCTGTGTGAAGATAGGGAAAATCTGGCAAGATAAAATCTACACTGTTAACAATGATTATCTCTAAGAGGTAGGATTCTTTCTTTATACATTTCCACATTATATGAATATTTTATGTTAAGCAAGTATTAGTTTTATCAGTAGCAAAATATTAAAAATAGGAAGAAATACTTTTCAAGCAAACAAGTAATTGACATTACAATAGGATAATCCACAGATGAGGTTTCTAAGGGCCAGGACTCAGACCTGCTTTCTCTAAGTACAGTTATTCCTCTATCTCCCACATCTGAACACAAACCTTTCTCTGATATTTCTTATTCTTCTGCCCATTTCCTTTCAACCATGGATACTCCTGGATGATCTCATCTTTTTATGATTATCATGTTTTAAAAATTTCCCCCTGCTCACAGCTTCTTGTCTTTATAATAATTCCCCCTGTTACATGGCCATATTTGAAAACTTTTAATGCTCTGTATACCTTGTACACATTACTGTCAGTTTTATTTGGTAATTCCTTATGTAACAATTTTTCTTTTAAAGCACAGAGAATATTGGAAAATATTTGTATGTTCTGAATTTCTTTTAGATGGGGAAAACAGATCTGAAATCAAAAAGTCAACTCCAAACCAGAATATTTCTGATGAAAATCAAACCCATGACATGATAATGAAGAGACTAACAGGAGACAGTTTCTGGTACTCCATCTTAGGAGGACTCTGGGATTTTGATTACCAGTTAGAGTTTAATCAAGAAAACCAGCAGAGACATTTAGGACAACTATCTCTCACTCACAAAAAGATCACCCAGGAAAGAAGACTTGAATGCAATAAGTTTGCAGAAAACTATAATTTGAACTCAAACCTTATACATCAGAGAATTCCTTCAATTAAAATACCTCTTAATTTTGACACACAAGGAAATAATATCAAACGTAATTCAGACTTGATTTACTGTCAGGGAAATTATGTAAGAGAGAAGCCCTATGAATATAATGAATGTGGAAAAATCTTCAATCAACATATTCTTCTTACTAATCATATTCATACTGGAGAGAAACCCAGTGAATGTGGGAAGGCCTTCAGCCACAACTCATCTCTTATACAACCTCAGATCATCCTTACAGGAGAGAAGCCCTATAAGTGTGATGAATGTGGGAAAAGATTTAGCCAAAGGATACATCTTATTCAACATCAGAGAATTCACACAGGAGAAAAACCTTTTATATGCAATGAATGTGGGAAAGCCTTTCGTCAACATTCATCCTTTACTCAACATCTGAGAATTCATACTGGAGAGAAGCCCTATAAATGTAATCAATGTGGTAAAGCCTTTAGCCGAATCACATCCCTTACTGAACATCATAGACTTCATACTGGAGAGAAACCTTATGAATGTAGTTTTTGTGGCAAAGCCTTCAGCCAGAGAACACATCTTAATCAACATGAGAGAACTCATACAGGAGAGAAACCCTATAAATGTAATGAATGTGGGAAAGCCTTTAGCCAGAGTGCACACCTTAATCAACATAGGAAAATCCATACTCGAGATAAATTATGTGAATATAAATGTGAAGAAACAATAAGCCACAGTCCTTCACTTAATCAGCAACACATAACTCATGGTGGAGAAAACCATATGAATATATAAATATGGGAAATTTTTTGGTCAGACCTTTCTAGCCCATTCAATATCAAATTATTCATAGTGGAGAGAAAGTTTCTAAATAAGCTTTTAGTGCATAGAAAACAAATAGAGACCTTAAATAGCAGCATAATACATTCCCAGGAGGGCTTATAAATAGTGAAAATCACTTATTTTATAAACAAGATTATATTAAGAGTCATGTTCTAAATCTTATTTTAAAAACTTTTTAAAACAATAACCAGAAATCCTGTAAACAATAACCTGTAATTATTCAACTGTAAGTTTTATGGTATAAAGCCTTTAAATCATATAAATATTGATTATTCAAGGAATTCTACAGTACAGCCAGTCATATAAATTTGAAATAAACATGAAAAAGCAATATTTCTCAAACTTTAGTTATTGATGTACTTCCTTTAATTTTTACCATACCTAGTATTTACTTAAAATTTTTTATAAAGGGACCCAGGATTTTTAGCCTTCTCCTAGGAAATATTATTTAACATATAAAACTCAAAAATTAGGGTTTTTTGGCCAGGCGCAGTGGCTCACGGCTGTAATCCTAGCTCTCTGGGAGGCCGAGGTGGGCGGATTGCTCGAGGTCAGGAGTTCGAAACCAGCCTGAGCAAGAGCGAGACCCTGTCTCTACTATAAAATAGCGAAGAAGATTATAGTTGGCCAACTAATATATATATGTAAAAAATTAGCCGGGCATGGTGGCACATGCCTGTAGTCCCAGCTACTTGGGAGGCTGAGGCAGAAGGATTGCTTGAGCCCAGGAGTTTGAGGTTGCTGTGAGCTAGGCTGACGCCACAGCACTCACTCTAGCCTAGGCAACAAAGTGAGACTCTGTCTCAAAAAAAAAAAAAAAAAAAAAAAAATTAGGGTTTTTTTAAAATCAGGGGTTGGCTGGGGGCAGGGTAGAGGGAGAGATTCTCACAATTTAGTTTTCTATGCTAATTAGATTTGTTCTGTTTTCCATCAAAATAGATATATAACTTTTGAAATTAAAAATATTCATTGATGTACCACCCAAGATTTGTTACCATCACTTTAGAAACAATGTGATAGGATATGGCAATATTATATTGTTGTTCTTTTAGCAATCCTTGCATTATTTTCATCAAATGAATCCCATGATCACTTTGAAAAGAGTCTTAGAGGAGGCTGAGGGTCATACTTATGAACTTTGAAAAATTGATTGAGAGAAGTCTGTTTTTCTATCTTTTATTTTAGGTTTAAATTTCCCTGTGGCAAACGTAGATTTCTGTGTTAAAATTGTTATGTCTGCTGTATTTGTAGGTTTGAATAGGAGGTTTTTTTGATAATGACCAGACGCTAAGAGTCCCCATGCCACCCTACACCACTGTGGAAGATGCAAGAATAAGGAACTGTACCAGAGGGTGAGCCATGGTGACAAATAGAGGATAAGAACATCAATGTGCTTTACTGGCTTATATTAATATAAAAAACTAAAGATGTAATATAATTGGGTTAATAATTCATTTTATTTGTTGAAACATATTTATGTAACACCTTTATCCAAAAAGAATTTGAGGTGAATTAATTGATTTTTATGATTACTGCCTTGTTTGACATTAGTAACATTTACTATTATAAAACATTATAAATGTAAACTGTCAAAAAACATGAATAACTGCAAGTGTGGGGATGCTTCAATTTCTTGGTTTCAGGTTTTCTCTTGGTCTTCTCGGACATGGCTGAAGAAACCATGAGGCTAAGGTAGGAGTGCAGCCTTCTTGCTTTCTCACCTTCTCCTAACATATCCAACATATATACCAGCTCTAGACTTTCCTGACTTTTTTCTCCCTGTGAAAGGACTGGATTTTATAGGCATTGAGACAAAGATAAAGTGATTTAAAGACTTTTAAAAATTAAGAGACTAAAGACCAAAAAAAGTAACTCATTTTATCACAGAAGTTAAACTTTTCAAAGTACATTTATGTCCCACGTGACAGTGGGTATGAAATAGTTAATAACATATTGATGACTATAGTCAGGGAGGATTTTCTAATAGTATTTTGTTCAAATATCTGTGCAATGTAGATCGGTTTTCAGGGAGGATCAATTCTGGAAGTATATTCATCAAAAGGAGCCACATTTAGCATTCATTTGCGATAATTTGATAGGGTATGGGGAACTCAGAACTCAGGAAGGGGGAGAGTGAGCCACAGTGAAGTCTCAGACAACAGAGGTATGTATTAAAAGAAGTAATGATTAATTACAGTTGGTAAAGACTTTGATCAAAGATTAATTTTGCAACCAAAAAAAAATATTCCACGGAGTTCTAGGGGCTCTACCACAAGGCAGTGTATCTTAGCACAGATAAAAAATAAAAACAATGTGAAATTTTCAGATCAGCAGAACTTGGACAATCCCAGAGAAGAGGTGTCTGGACTGAACCAGACCACATTTGGCTAAGGATTTTCAACAATTCTTCATAAATAGGAGGTGTAAATTAGAATCCTATTATATATTTCTTAGGGTCATAAATGATTATGTTAATTGTACAGTCAACTGTGTCATTATGGTGTGGATTCATTCTCATGTTGTCCATCCTTTGTCCTCTTCAAAATGTTCCAGGTTAAGGAGTGAACCCTAAATATATTAATTACATCAAAATACTGATAAGAGTAGGGGAGACACAGGAATAGTATTCATTCCAAAATCTGTTTGTTACAATTTATTTCTATCTAGGAGGACAAGACATTACCCTTTCATATATATAAGTCATTTGGTCTATCCAACAGGTTGTTATTGTCGTTTTATGAGAAGAGATAATGAAGCTACACATAATAATAAGTAACTTATTATTCAGGGTTTTTCAGACTGAAATGTCATTGTAACATGAGTCATCTTACTCCTAATCTGGTAGATACAAACAGTGCCTGGAACAGTCTTCTATTATATAATGTTCTGAAACATTTGGTCAATATGTGAATTTTAATAAAATGAAAGATGGCTGCTCAATACCAAAATCTGTGTGGACTCTATTTCTCATAACCTCAGAGTATTAAAGGATCACCATGGTAATTAATTCTGTGTCCATAGGGATTGTTAGCAATGAGAAAAATACTCATTAAAATTTGTATTTTAATTAATGTTCAGTTTATTTAAGAAACAAATTGAAATTCTTTAAACAGCATTTCTCTAGTTATAGATTTGAAACTAATAAAAACTTAATAATTCCTAAAATTAGATATCCCTACTCTTTTAAACACTGACTTCAGATGTAAACATATCTAAACATTTCATTACTTTACCTGCAAAATGGAAATTTAAAAAAAATTAAAAATAAATATTTCATTAAAATCACCAACCTAAATTATCAGAGTCTATTAAATGCTTTAAATACTTTAAGAAACAGAAAAGACACACCCAGAATGTCACAATAATTATAACAAAACTAGTTATAAAAATGTTAAACCCGGCCCAGCGAGGTGGCTCATGCCTGTAATCCTAGCACTCTGGGAGGCCAAGGCAGGAGGATCACTCAAGGTCAGGAGTTCAAAACCAGCAAGAGCAAAACACTGTCTCTACTAAAAATAGAAAGAAATTAATTGGCCAACTAAAAATATATATAGAAAAAATTAGCCAGGCATGGTGGCGCATGCCTGTAGTCCCAGGTACTTGAGAGGCTGAGACCGAAGGATTGCTTGAGCCCAGGAGTTTGAGGTTGCTGTGAGCTAGGCTGATGCCACTGCACTCTAGCCCAGGCAACACATGAGACTCTTGTATCAAAAAAAAAAAAATGTTAAACACATGGATTTAATTTTCTTATCCTTATTTCAACATATTCCCAGGGTCCTAATTTTCCATATGTTCCTAGGTTTAGGTTGTTATACCATATGCTCTTGTTATAATTTTCTCAAGTTTCAGTAATCTTCCCAGACAAACTAAGTTGCATTAGCAACTGGCTGATCCTTGGGTCATCCATAAGACATACTTGCACAGACCAAAAACTTATCTTTGGTCTCCATTTATAACAAAACAGCACTAGTTAGTGATGGAACATTTTAAGACCCTTTGTATAGATTTTAAATTTGGGGGACTTAAACTTTCCTAAGACCATCAGGCCATTGTGTTGACATTTTAGTATAATGATCTTATTGGTTAGCATTATTTAAAGTCTTTATATGCCTTATTAGTATAATTAATAAGAGCATACAGCTCCTTCCCGAAGAATGCAGGTTTTATAGTCAGTTTTCCACTGTAGAACATTTGGCTACTTCATTATTTTGAAATTCTGTTGAATCCTCCTTCTTCTTGGTTATCATATGTGCTGATTAACTGTTGAACCATCTTTCTACTTTGTCTAAGTAACCATTCAGTTCTTCCTGTTTCTTTTTTTAATTATTATTTCAGGGTATTATGAGGGTACAAACATTTTGGTTACATTTTATGTCTTTGCCTCATCCATGCAAGGCTTAGAGGCATGCCTTCCCCTCTACAATGCTCACCGTGTCCTTTAGTTGTGAGTTTACTCCCCCCACAAACCCCCTAATCCCTGGAGAATATTACCGCATTGTGAGCACCATAGTGTTAGTCAGTACCAATTTGATCGCGAGTACAAGTGAAGCCTATTCTTCCAATCTTGTGATACCTCACTTTGGATAATGGGCTAAAGCTCAATCCAGGAAAATATAAGAGGTGCTAGATCACTGTTATTTCTTATAATTGAGTAATATTCCATTGTATACATATACCAAATTTTAATTATCCACTGAATTGACGGGCACTTGGGTTGTTTCCACATCCTTGCAATAGTGAATTGTGCTGCCATAAACATTTGGGTGCAGATGTCTTTATTATAGAATATCTTTTGCTGTTTGAGTAGATGCCTAATAGTGCTATTGCTGGCTTGAATGGTATTTCTATTTTTAGCTCTTTGAGGTATCTCCAAATTCTTTTCCACGGAGGTTGCACTAATTTGCATTCCCACCAGCAGTGTAAGAGTGTTCCTATCTCTCCACATCCTTGCCAGCATTTGTTGTTTCTGCAGGAGTCTTCTATTATAGAATATCTTTTGCTGTTTGAGTAGATGCCTAATAGTGCTATTGCTGGCTTGAATGGTATTTCTATTTTTAGCTCTTTGAGGTATCTCCAATTCTTTCCACGGAGGTTGCACTAATTTGCATTCCCACCAGCAGTGTAAAGTGTTCCTATCTCTCCACATCCTTGCCAGCATTTGTTGTTTGGGGATTTTTTGATAGAGGTCAATCTCATAGGGGTTAGGTGATACCTCATTGTGGTTTTGATTTGCATTTCTCTAATGATTAGAGATGAGCATTTTTTTATATGTTTGCTGGCCATTATTCTGTCTTCTCTTTTTTTTTTTTTTTAAGACAGAGTCTCACTTTGTTGCCCTGGCTAGAGTGAGTGCCGTGGCGTCAGCCTAGCTCACAGCAACCTCAAACTCCTGGACTCAAGCGATCCTCCTGCTCAGCCTCCCAAGTAGCTGGACTACAGGCATGAGCCACCATGCCGGCTAATTTTGTATATATATTTTAGTTGTCAATTAATTCTTTCTATTTATAGTAGAGACGGGGGTCTCGCTCAGGCTGGTTTTGAACTCCTGACCTCAGCAATCTGCCTGCCTCGGCCTCCCAGAGTGCTAGGATTACAGGTGTGAGCCACCACGCCCGGCCTATTCTGTCTTCTCTTGAACAGTTTCTTTCTTTCTTCTTTTTTTTTTTTTTGAGACAGAGTCTCGCTTTATTGTCCAGGCTAGAGTGAGTGCCGTGGCGTCAGCCTAGCTCACAGCAACCTCAAACTCCTGGGCTCAAGTGATCCTATTGCCTCAGCCTCCCAAGTAGCTGGGACTACAGGCATGCACCACCATGCCCGGCTCATTTTTTATATATATATCAGTTGCCATTATTTTCTTTCTTTATAGTAGAGAGGCCTCTCCTCTTGCTCAGGCTGGTTTTGAACTCCTTGACCTTGACTTGAGCCAATCCCGCCCGCCTCAGCCTCCCAGAGAGCTAGGATTATAGCGTGAGCCACAGCTCCCGGCCTCTTGAACAGTTTCTGTTCATTCCTTTGCCCATTTATTGATGAGGTGGTTTGATTTTTTTTGTTGATTTTTTAGTTCTAGGTAGATTCTTGTTATCAGCCCTTTATCAGATGTGTAGAGAGCAAATATTTCTCCCCATTCTCTAGGCTGTCTATTCGCTCTAATGATAGTTTTCCTTGGCTGTGCAAAGCTTTTTAATTGATCAGATCTCATTTATTATTTTTTGTTGCTGTGGTGATTGTTTTGGAGGTCTTCTTCAAACATTCTTTGCCTAGGCTGATGTCTGAGGGTCTTCCCCAACATCTTCTTCTAGAATTCTAAGGTTTCATGCCTTGGGTTAAGTCTGTTATCCATCTTGCAGTTCTTCCTGTTCTGACATGGTTACAACTTTTCCAGGATTACTTGGCTTGCCCACCATCCT